TCTGTACGTATGTCTGCACAAAAGTATGTAATTTCACGTATTTGACGACAGGATTCCCGTGGACGCTCTTGTTGTACGGGGCGTTGGTGTGGACTTTCTTGTGCCCGCTGGCGATCCGAGGAACCAAGAGCAGGAAGCCACAGGTAGCGACCAGGGCTGCGCTCACAAGCAGAGTCTGCGGTCTCCCGTGGAGGGCCATCCTCGCCCTTGGGTCTGGGGATCTGCAGGACGGAAAGCAGACAGACGGACATGTTACTGACATCGGCGAAAGGGAATTGGGGCTATAAAAATACCCATAAAAAACTGATGCAGACTCAAGCATTTGTATGTGCGTGTGGTTTCTCTCTCTGAGTTGACGTTGCACACACACACGCACGCACGCGCACACGCACACACAGCCCTCAGGAAGCAGCCACCCAAAGGCTGTTTTCCACAGTGAGGGAGAGGAGCTACCTTTCAAGGTGGTTCCAGTGGCGGGACAAAAGCATTGTAGGAGCCAGTGTAGGTGTGAACCCCTGGGGAGAGACCAGAGGGGATGTTCTTCCACCTACTGAACATCATTGTTTGGAACCCTTTTGCTCATCCCTCAGAAGATGCCACCCAAAGGTTGCTTCTCCTCAGTGAGGGATGGAGCTCTTTCACTTTTTCCAGCTAGTTCCTCTCATCCCTCTGAAACAGCCACACAAAGGCTGTTTCACTAGTGAGGGAGGAGAGGGCCTGAACCTTTTTCAAAGTGAAGGAGGGCCTGAACCTTTTTCAAAGTGAATTCCTCCTTCCTCTGAAACAACCACCCAAAGGCTGTTTCACTACAGTGAGAAAGGAGGAGTCCTGCACCTTTTCAAGGAAGCTTTTACAACCCTCAGAAGCAGCCACTCAAAGGCTGCTTCACCACAGTGAGGGAGAGAAGCTAACTTTCAAGGCGGTTCCAGTGGCGGCAAAATAAGGCAGTGTTCTGTCTAGCAGCAGCTATTTCGACAGAGCTAATGCCAAAAGGGGGGGGCTCCTACCTGCCTATCGCCCTAAACGAATAACTAGAGTGGCAGTCATTAAATGGTCTGCCAGACCAGTCCCTAGCAAAAAGATTGGCAACTCTCTGTGTACCGTAAGGCAGGCACGCTAAGTGTTGGCTAGGAGGCCGTGCAGTGGAGGAGGAGGCATTGAGGTTCTTGGGGGAATCGTGGGTGGTCTTGTGGTGATGGGTGTAGATGTTTGTAGAGGTGGTTGAACTGTTGAGGCGTATGTTGGGTGAGTGGTTTGTTTAAGTGCTTGTCTTTTGGTCTTCAGGATGTCTTTACGTGTGGGGCAAGACCCGCTGACGGCAACGTGCTGCCCCCCATAAGTGCAACATTTGGTCGGCCTGTTGCAGGTGGCGAAGAAGTGACCAACTTCGCCACAACGGCTGCACCTTTGTTCGTGTGTACATTGGTGTTTTTTATGATTGTATCTGTAGCACTTCAGGCATTGATCAATCGGGATAAAGCATTCAGGTTCAATGTTATAGGTGGGGACGGACGTGTTGAACATCACAATCCCAAATGAAATGAGTTTCTGTGCTTCTTCAGGCGATGAGCAACGGATTTTTACGATCCGTGATTCGGGATGTTTGTAAATTTCGACTACAGTGACATCATTTTTAGTTGATATTTCCGCCTGAATGGCCTCGCACGATCGTGGCAGGATTGTCTTGTCGATCTTTTTAGCCACGACCGTGCATTTAGCCTTCGTTTCAGGGGAAGGCATGGGTTTGAAGCCTTGAGCAGCGAGTTTTCTTTGGCCGGTTGAGGAGAAAAAAGGGGTCATTTGTTCAGGCTTGGCAACTGCAACCTTATAACCATTATGTACCTGAAAACAGTGCGTAACGGCAACCTCAGTGATTTCGAAGATTTTCTGGAGAGCCACCTCACAAGAGATGGGCTCCCCAGAATATGTTAATTTGATAATGTGACCCATGGTGGCATAGCGTAAGGGTGATGGTGAAGGGAGATGGGGTGAAGTCTAGCAGGGATAATTGACTGGACGAGCAATGGTGAACAGTGGTATTCAAAAAAGGGGAAGCACACTGGGCAATTGACAGTCTTTGTGTGTTAGGGCCGGTCGGGGGTCAACCCTGCCGAACGGGACAGAGTCCTTATGTGTTCGGCCGACACCTCGCAGTAAAACTGTCAATTACCACAGTGCTTCGTGTTTTAATTGTAAGCGCTCTGGCCTACAATTAAAAAACTATCTCTAAAGCAGGGTAAGTGTGATAACACACAGGTTAGCACACAAGAGAGCCAAGGTCGTCTTGCGTGGGGCGTCAAATCTCTCTTTAAAGAAAACCCACGCAAAAACCTTGGGACCTACAAGGTCCTGAGAGCCCTTGGGAAATGTCTTTTTTTTGTCTGATTTGCGAGGCAGAGCCTCGCCCGGGCTATGCCCATGAGGGGAGCCCAGTTTTGGGAAATGTCAGTACAGAGTGTTTTATAGCAGGGTAAGCCTCCGGGATGGTACAGTGGTAACGTGTCGGCCTCTCATCCGAGGGGTCTGCGGTTCGCGCCCCGCCCAGGCGCAAGAAGTTGCGGTTGTCGCCTGGAGGTTACTGCTGTGGCTGAGCACCACGGTGGGTAAGGACTAAGCTCACCCGAGTCAGCACCTGCTGACACACTGTTAGCGAGTCGACATTAGTCGGCACAGGCCGGGCTCCCCTCATAGCCCGAGCGAGGCTCAGCTTCGCATATCGGACTTATAGCAGGGTAAGGGTCCTGTGGTCACATGTTAGGTCGGGGACACTGGATATGACAATACAATTAAACCATGAACATTGGATAACTGTATTATCAGCAATGATAATGATTACAAACATATTGATTGAGAATAAGGATTTTTTGACAAACATTTTGAGTATAATCATGATATAAGTACACTTGTAGTTATAAAGTATTTAACAGTAAGGGTCGGAATTGCTTGCTCTGGGGGCACTTCACTATTATCATTACTTTCTGGGCGCAGGTCAAATTCGGCACAGGCGATTGGGTGGGAAGTCGAGAGGAAGCCATTAAATCGTCCGTAAGGGTCGGAATCGCTCGCTCTGGACACGTCGGTGCCGTTCCGTTTGTACAGGCGTCAATGTTTGTACAGGCGTTAATCAGTAGAGTCCTGGGCACCGGGGGGAGGGGGAGCCAAAGGCATAAAGAGGGAGTAGGCCATTAAACAAACAAACAAACACACGCACACAAACAAACACATAAACAAACACACACAACTCACACAAACAAACTCACACATAAACAAACACACACAACTCACACATAAACAAACACACAGAAACAAACACACACACATAGAAACAAACACATTCACAAACATACTCAAACAAACACAAACGCACTGAAACAAGCAAACACACAAACAAACACACACACGCCCTCCACACATCAAAAAGGAGAACAAAAAATATTGCGTCGAGTAATCATGCAAGTTACACCATGTGGGTGAGACTGATGTGTGAGAGCTTTGTCTTTCTCTCGAAGAAGAAAAAGGAAAAGATTGCTCGTTCCCTTTCTCCCTCTTCCTCTCTCTCTCTCTCTCTCTCTCTCTCTCTCTCTCTCCCTTTGTTCCTCTTTCTCATTTTCTTCCCCCCCTCCCTCTCTCTTTCTCTTCCCCCTTTCTCTCTTTCTCCCCCCCCCTCTCTCTCTTTCTCTCTCCCCCTCTCTCTCTCTTTCTCTTCCCCTCCTCTCTCTCCCTTTCTGTCTCTGTCTCTCTCTTTATCTCTGTCTCTCTCTATCCACCCTCTCTCTCTCTCTCTATTTATCTATCAGTCTATTTATATGTCTGTCTATCTATTTATCTCTCTCTCTCACACACACACAAACATACACACAAACACACACACAAAAACGCACACAAACACATCTCTCCTTCTCTCCCCTCCCCATCATGGGCTACGAAAAGAAAAAACATGAACAGGATATTTCTGAATCATTTTGTTATTTCTAGATATCGCTAGACAACAAAAATAGTAAACGCAAAATAAGTCCATAAGACATCACTACAACCATCACTTCCAATTTCAAAATACGATCTCCGTGATATCGTACACTCAATGACAATCACGAAGGGGAAATCTTCTGAAAAAAAATAGATAAATAAATAAAGATACGTGCAAACGAATGGTGAAACAGTTGCCACAGTCTAGCAAGCAACATCATATTTAAAAGGGCTCTACTGTTGGGAGAGCAGGAAAGTATCTCGAGCACTCATCTCTAGCAGTCATTTTGTCGCCGAGTGCACTGTGGAAGTTATTCTCACTCGTTTGTCGCCGAGAGCCTCTTTGTAAGTTATTTTTCCCTCGTTTGAACGTCAGTGATATGTGTGTTGGTATGTATGTTTGCTGTTTGTCCTGTGTGTAATGGTAGGGTAAGATTTGCTATGTTATGTGAATTTTTTTTTTTTTCTGATAGCTCTTGGTCGTGTTTTGAATGAATCTCTCTCTCTCTCTCTCTCTGTAACGACTACGACTGATATGTGAATAAAATATCGGCAGTTCTTCGGGTTTATTCTAGGTCAGAGCTACAGGAGCTGGATGTGTTGACCGAGCCGATACTGAGGGCAGAGTGACTTCGGCTCACTGAGATTTTGAATGGTTCACAAAATATTCGCTAAACATAAGAATATGGCAACATTGATTTTAGTGGGAAATGTCAGTACAGACTCTCTGTTTTGTAGCAGTGTAAGGGTCCTGTGGCCACACGTTTGGTCGGGGACACTGGAGATGTCAATACAATTAAATCGTGAATATTGGATAACTACTATCGTCAATAGTAATGATTACAAACATAGTGATTGAGAACAAGGATTTTTTTTACAAACATTTTGAGTATAATCAAGTATTTGCTCTGGGGGCACTTCGCCATTGTCGTTACGTTCTGGGCGCAGGTCAATGTTGGCACAGGTGATTACCAGTAGGGTCCTGGGTACCGAGGGAAGTCAGGGTTATGACGTGGGGGGGGGAGGTCTTTAAACTCTCTCTCTCTCTTTCTGTGTCTCTCTCTTTCTCTCTCTCTTACTCACTCTCTCTCTCTCTTTCTCTCTCTCTCTCTCACTTACTCACTCTCTCTCCCTCCCTCCCTCTTTCTCACTCTCTGTCTCTCTCTTTCTCTCTGTGTCTTCCCTCTCTCTCTCTCTCTCTCTCTCTCTCACTAACTCACTCACTCATTCACTCTCTCTCTCTCTCTCTCTCTCTCTCTCTGCAATGATATGGGGAGGACGTGTCCCCACTTGCTGCCGCCAGTGTAATGTTTTGTGTGTTTGGAGGAGTTATCCCGCTAGTTTGTCATCGATGTAATGTTGCAGGAAGTTTTTCCCACTTGAATGGTAAGCTTCAACAGTTTATTTCTGCGAGAGTAGGATAGCTGGTGCACAGACGACAGGCAGGGCAGAGACGCCCAGGGAGCGGGGCGCATCCAGTTTTGAGGGTTCACAGAATTTTACCTGAACCAAAGAAATAGTAACATTGGTTACAGTGTCAGTCCCGACGCTCTCTTTTTATCTTTTCTCTCCCCCTCTCTCTCTCTCTCTCTCTCTGCGCGCGCGCGCGCGCGTGTGTGTGTGTGTGCGTGTGCGCGTGCGTGCGTGTGTGTGTGCAACGTCAATTCAGAGAGAAAAACCACACGCACATACAAATGCTTGAGTCTGCATCAGTTTTTTATGGGTATTTTTATAGCCCCAATTCCCTTTCGCCGATGTCAGTAACATGTCCGTCTGTCTGCTTTCCGTCCTGCAGATCCCCAGACCCAAGGGCGAGGATGGCCCTCCACGGGAGACCGCAGACTCTGCTTGTGAGCGCAGCCCTGGTCGCTACCTGTGGCTTCCTGCTCTTGGTTCCTCGGATCGCCAGCGGGCACAAGAAAGTCCACACCAACGCCCCGTACAACAAGAGCGTCCACGGGAATCCTGTCGTCAAATATGTGAATTTACATATTTTTGTGGAGACATACGTTAAAGACGAACGCCTTATAGAAGATCTCTCTTCCAACAAGACCCTCAGTGTGGAAAAAGGAACCCTCGGCTACATCCCTGTGCCAAAGTGCGAGGAGGAATACAACCCGTGTCCCTTCGGTCCGGACGGCATGAGGAGGAAGTTGACTGCCCGGACAGTCAAGCAGACGGTCATTATGTACTTTAAAAATACGAACAACAATAAAATTGAAAGAAAGGAGCATACTTACGAGGTGGACGCTGAATGCATCTGCGAGAAATAGAAGGACAGCAAGGGTGTTCCTGAAGTTAAAGATTTAGAAATATATATGCGTGTGTGTATGTATACGTATGTTTAATATATATATATATATATATATATATATATATATATATATATATATATATATATATATATATATATATATATATATATATATATATTTTATATATAAAATTCAATATATATATATAATATACATATATATACATATTTATATACTTTTACGACCCACGGTCTTAGTGGTTGTTACTCAACCACCTAGTTTTGAAGCGCCTTGCTTAGACACCACCAGCACTGCTGCGCATGCGCATGAGGTGGTGACCCGACTGTTCACTCTCTTCCACGGGCGCCACTCCACCACTTAAGACGCTGTTGTTTCTTTTTTTGTAAATTCTCAGGTTTGTTTTTTTCTTTGTTAGGATTAGGGTTAAAGTCTGCAATATTATGTAGACTTTAAATAGGTAGGATTGGTGATGGTGTTTATTTGTAAATATATTCTGAAAGTAAATAAGCAATTACGTATGTTTTTTACTTTATTCTTTCTTTCTAATATAGTAAACTGAATTGCGAATAAAAGCGTTGTAGTTGAATTAAGTTCTGAAGAACATTGACATAACAAATTAAATATATTTTCTACTACATAAGAATAATTATCAAGTGACTAACAGATGCTTAATTTACTGGTTAAATAACTAAAATCATAATGTAAAACGTCATCTAAGAAAAGAAAAGGGGTTAATGACGAGATACGGAAACATGCTGAGATCTAATGATTGTGCATTCTGAGCAATCTTTATCTACGACGGGAGTTGAACTTGGCCATATCGGGCCATTATGTAACTGGCCACTGCTCGTTGATGCACTCTAGTCGTGATAATACATACACATATATATATATATATACATATTTATATACAAACACATATACATAGATATATGTATAATATACATATGTATATGTACATATACATGTGCATTTATACATATATATGTATATGTATACCTATATTTGTATGTATATATGTGTATATGTATATATGTGTATGTGTGTATATATTTGTATATGTGTGTATATGTGTGTATATATGTGTACATGTGTGTATATGTGTGTATATATGTGTATATGTGTGTATATGTGTGTATATATGTGTATATGTGTGTATATATGTGTACATGTGTGTATATGTGTGTATATATGTGTATATATGTGTATATGTGTGTATATATGTGTATATATGTGTATATGTGTGTACATGTGTGTA